TGGACTCTACTGTGGGACAAGATCTCGCAGTTATGAAACACTTAAAATGTGAGACAGCTGCCGTAAAAATGAAGGCAAATCTTTACTCTGTTGGGCTGAATAATGATGAAGTGGTTCAATATTAGCTTAAATTATTCCTGTGAGTTACTGAGGTAGCATCTATTTGAAAAAGCAGTGACAACTGAGATTAATAGTAGAAATTAATATACGTAATTCAAAGCTTTTAACTTAGGTCCTTGGTTCACAAAAGTCTGCTTTTATACACGTATTTCTGAGACAATGAGTAATGTATGTTTTTCCTAAAATATACAAATTGTATTTTGGTAATGAACTCACACAAATGGAGCATCTATCATCGGTATATGTTATGGATCTACCTGCCAGGGTTGAAGTTTTAAATATGAGCCACTCTGTTCAGAAAACCAGTGGTGGAAAGCAACTAAGTGGGCTATATCCAGTGTACTTAAAGCTGCACTAATCAATATTTTTATATTAACAATGGATCCAATGACTGTGTGTAACGTGAAAGGGGTCATTTATAGTGATGAACTCACGGAGAGTCATCGCTCAACTCCTCACTTCCCCTCAGCTCTCCGGAGCGTTTTAATGTCGTTCAGAAAAGTGTTTTGATGTTTTTGCAACTTAAAGGACCAGTGAGTCAGATTTAATGGCAAGCTGCAGATTATAACCCCCTCGCCTCACCTTCCTGTTCCAAAAACTGCATAAAGGTAGCATACTGAATAAACACTGTATGCTATCTGTGCAGCAGCCAATGTCAGACAGACATATTGGAACATTTAGCTGCTCAAGTGTTAGATATATATTCAGAAGATGATGGAAACCAAAACAGAGCAAAGGAGAGTGAATTGTGATGAACTGACATTCATCAGGTGGCTAGGAACACAACTATAAATTAAGTACAATTTCAGGATAAGGGTACATTACCTGAGGCTTTTATGATACATATTATTTTTGTCTTGAAAATACGGTAGTAGTTGGACAAAATAAAATATACGAAGAATAGTTTAATTTTTTCGGGGACTCTCATTGGCTTTCTTGCCAGGAGTTATGCTAATTCCTTGACTTGTCGTCACCAAGAGGTTGACCCCTTTAATCCCCCATAAAAATACAAGTTGTCGTTTTCTACACCTCAGTTGTTGTATTGATTAAACAAACAAAATATGTTTAGAACTGAACTGAACAAACTGTTTCCCTATTGGCATTCTTTATGCTAACAAACAAAGCTAACAGGCCGCATTTCCGAAACTATCTCAAACTATTCCTTTAACTCAAAGTTCACTTACTAGCCTTTTCTATTAATTTCAACCACATTTCGGAAGATGATACTACTGACATACTTGTCTTGAAGTAAAATTGTATGCTTTAGTGGACTGTATTTACACATTGCAGAATTTCTACTTTTTCTTAAAGCCCTTACAAGGGGCTTTCATTGATTTCAAGGGGAATCCGACTGAATCCAACTCGTTGGTATGCTTTAAGAAGAACTATTGAAAGGCTATTGGAATAGCTTTGTTTGTTTATGTAGGTCATATAGGGGCATCAATATTAAATTGAGTTGAGTTCATGACCAACTCTTTGCAGGACACTTAAGTAAAATTGAATTTAGGACCTTCATTGTAATGGAGTATTTTTACATTGCAGTATTGCTGCTTTCACCTAAAGGATATGAATACTTCTTCCATGACTGTAGACCTACTGTACATCTGAAGAACTTGTGAATTATTAAACAATTGCAGCATACTAAGGAAGTGAGTCAATTTTTTTTTGTTTCTTTTGAATTGGCTCACATATGATTCAGTACAGAGTGTACAGTATCTTCAGTTATGCTGAGATGGATCCTGGAGGAATGGATGAAGCACTATGAACACGTAGCTGCAGCAGTTGATTTATGGTGATGCATAACTAGTCTTTTCTCAGTGGACAAATGAGCCTGCCTCAAAATGGATCCTCTCAGCGTTTTGAATAAGCTCTCCTGGTGCAGTGTGCCCGCATTTGGGGATCAGTTTGTTTAATGACAGCGGGAAACATCTTCAATCCATCATTACTTAGGCCTTGTGATTAGTAAAATGCTCATCAAAGTCATAGTGGGAGTAAAATGCCCAGGTGGTCGCTGCACAATCAATCAAATTGACTAACTCACAATGAAAGTGCGCACACACACACGCGCACACACAGACACACACACTCTCTTTCTGAGCTTTGTGTCAGCCATAAGCTCTTTCCATTAAACCTGCGCTGCATTAGGCATTTGGGTTAAAAGCTTTCATAATCAGGTGTGTTCTCATTTAGTGCACAGAGATTTCCAAGATCAATACTGTGACTGACGTGAGGGCTTTGCCCACCGTGTGTAGGTGTGTGTGGGCGTGCATCATGTGTGTATGCAGAAGGACCTTAGAGCCAGCTTTGGCCCTAGTGTGTGAGTGTGTGTCTATGTGTTCATGTATTTGTCCGTCTGAGTGTCTGTTTACTGTCTTCTGTCTGCGGGCGGCAAACCGTTTCCTACTGTGATCTCTTCATTCTGTGTTTGAGAGGAACTAACAGTGCTGTTCTGTAGATGCTGCGGTTGTTTTTCTGCCTGACGCCCCCTCAGTTGATCCCTAGGTCCACTTTACAGACTGCTACTGCAACAAATGTAGAGTCAAAACCCATTAATGAGCCCAACACACACACACAGGTACTTGCTCTGGTGCCTTTTTTTTTTTTTTTTGCGCATTTGTGAATTTTATGCTTGAATGTGTATGTTAGTGTCTCAGGTGCATCTTAACCAGTGATAAGCATTTTATTCAGCCATAAAATTGTGTTTTCTTCTACTTTACCATTGAGGTGCAGGGGTGAGGACTGGGGGGAGATTACTGAGTGTACATGTTGGGGGGGGCTGCAAAAACACTAGAATGAAATGTTGTAGATGCAGAGGGTCCAGAATTTCGTGCTACGCCCCTGTTGAGGTGAGACAGCTGTATTTGCTCGGTATACAGTTCAACTCATTTTAAGAGTTTTTATGACTCCGGTGATATTGACTTTGCAGAAGACGAGGGATTTGTTCTAAATAAGAATTCAAAACACAGTCTTCTGACTTAATTGCAATGCCTTACATAAAACAGGGAGGGAGACATCACACAAATGTTTCAACCCTACGCCTACATCAGAACCTCAAACTTCATTTCCAACGAGACGGATAAAGTCTTGTTAAATTGGTGTTTTCTGCAGCTTGTACTGTATGTATTTGTGTGTTTTTATGAGCGCGAGCCCAGTGTGTGCTTGCGAGTTTGTTTGCAAGTGTGTGGGCGTTCAGGGACTTTTAGAGAAGTATGCCCGCAGCAGCGTTTTTACAAATGCCTCCTCTGCATTGAGATCAATACGTTAGGCCTTGGGGGATGAGCTTGACCTATGTGAGCAGTTTTTCATAATCACTTACGTCTTAAAAATACAGTTTTTCCCCATAGTAGTGCTGCCTTGGATGTGTTCTATTTTATTTTTCCACTTGCTATATTTGGATGGAAAACATGCCATATGGACAGATTTAAAAAAAAAACGACTAATGGCTTTGACATTTTTCAATTAAATGCCGGAAAGCACATGAAAAGCCTGAAATAACGTCATAAATAAGGGGAAATGTCTCTTTCAGACATTCACCATTGGTCTGCCTGAGATTATGTTTAGTAAACATGAACTTGAACCACAGGTGTGCTGCGTGTCAAATGTCAGTGGCAAGAACATATGTCAGCAGTTATCACCAGTCTGACCCCCAGATCAATTCCCTGTCTTTGAATTTCAACGTGATAGATATTAAATTGAGCCTTGCGTTTCAAACAACTGTTGTTTCCACTGCTGAGTAATAGCGTCTTCATCCCTGACACTGCCAAAGGCCTATGTCCTGACAAACTGTGATGCCTTCATTCCCAGTAGTATTCCACTGAAGCAGGCCTTGACCCTGACAGAGCAGTCTGTGATGGCTATGTTCATTGTTCATGCGCTCAATAGGCAGCACATGGCGTGGGCAGCAGTCAGTGGGGCTAAATTTGTGCCTCTCTGCTCATTCCGGGGATATTTGTGACTTGCTCCTTGTTGACTCGTTGCGCTTCTTGCTGACAACGGGTCTCTGTGTGTCACAGACTGCTAAATCCAGCCAGCTGTATGCAATTAGGCTGCAGAACGCTGGGGATGTGCATGCTTCTCTGCAAAGCATCAAGTGGTGACTAACTGCTGATTTACAGTCTGTGATAAGCTAAAAAAAAAAAAAAAAATCAAAAACCTTTCTGCCATTAGATTTCTTGTAACAGGCTTGAGGCAGTAATAACAACATAGAAGTCAATACATCACCATATCCTGATCGTTAAACCAAGTAAGACGCATCCTTTTTGGGTGATTGTGTGACAACAGAAATCTAGATTTATTGAGGAAAATTATTTAAGCAAAATCAATGAAATCCATAGCCCTGGATTAAAATAATAAAACATATATTTTTTTTAAATGTTATCTAGGAAATAAGGCTGCCTTAGAGGCTACTGTACATTAATCAAATAAAGTGTCAGAACTTATGGGTACTGCTACCGTAAATGCAAGAGAATAAATTGCTGTAGGTTTTATAAAATGTCTTTAATGTTTTCATCTTGTCGACGGCAGGCTATTTTGACAGACAGACAGGCACTGGTTCATAAATCAGTGGCCACATCTTTTCCCCCAGGGAGATTCACTGTTGTTTCCTAGGTAACAACCCCCTCCCTCCCTTCCCCTTGGTTCCTCTGGACTGTACCACCTTCACTGTAGGGTGGGAATTGCGTTGTTTATCGAATAGAAGTAGATTTCCGTGTTTAAATCAAACGAAATATAGCAGTACATTACAATTAAACACGATTTTTCGTTTAGTTGCAGTGCATGGTATCTTATGTAGTCGCTCACAAAGGCGTTATTAATGTTTAGACCTTAGTACTAACCCCCTGGCGAAGCACATTCAACATTTCATCGAACTGTCAAAATCGCTTGTTGCTTCCTACCCTAGCCTTAAAAGTAGTTAGCGAGCTAGCGTGTAGCGAGTGATAGCTTACTTCTGCCTTTCACTGAAATATACTTCGAAAGCGAAAAAGTTTGCTGCCGTGAGGAAATAGTGAGAAGTGTCAGTCGAAGAGCAGTTTTTTTTTTTGCCGTCCTGTTCCGAGCCTTGGGTCCCGTGCCAACCGAAATAGCGCTCTCGAGAAGCGGCGGCGGCTGAAGTGCAGCTGGATGTGACAGGTTCGTCATCAGGTAAGCTGCAGGTAGTTAGCTCCAGCAGCTAGCACCCCTTGGCTCTGGCATTTCTTTACACACTTGTTACGGCGTTATGGTGAATATAGCCGCTCTATGGGCAGTAGAGGTGGATACAAATGGCTCTAGTGATGCCACTCCAGTATCATAAACACTACGCGTTGATGTCTGGATTGCTATGCTAGCCCACACTGTTATCTTTGCTCAAATAGCTGATGAAAACTAGTGGAAGCAGCTCCAGAAGAAACAAAGATTAAATCAGCATTACGTCGCAGTGGTCCCTGCGTGGCTCTCCTGCGATGTAATGCTTTCTGGGATATGCTGTTTGCTATTAGTGGAGAAGCCATAATGACCACAGTGAAGTCACAAGGGAATAGGTTTGATAATAACTCATTAATTATTGATTGCATGTATGATAGTCACCAGTATTAAGCAGTGTTGCCATCATTGTTCCAGCCTTATTCCAGTGTACAGCTAACTAATATTGTATGTTCTTACTTTGAAATGCAAATGTAAGAAACACAATACATGTAATGGCACCCTGATTAATGGATTGTTAGATTTAATTGCTGTGTACAAGGGGAAATAAAGCAGTTCTAATGAGACGTAAGTGGAGGCACATTTTAATCTACTGCAGGTTGGCTGAGCAGGAGCCTGTACACCTGGGTAAGGTTAATAAGTTGTGATCAGGCGAGTTGCTGGGTCGTGTACAGTAATTGGTCCTTCTGAAAATGCAAACTGACATCTCAGAGCAGAATTGCACCGATGGAAGCACGACACAGCGAGCTATCAGTATTACAGCGTAAAGAGGTCTTCGGCTTGCCATTTTTATGGAATATGTGGCGTTCATTAAGGCTGTTAGAGCAATGATACTTTGCACCACCACTAGGATTGTTAGGAAAGAGCTTGGTATAATCAGCTGTATGAAAAATTGGCCAATGTATGGGATCATATTAGCATCAGATTAACCTCCAGAAAATAGACTGTGTTTGGTCCCCAGCCAGAATTTTAATGCAGTGAACGCCGTACTTCCTGGGTTGATCTTCATCCATTTTTTAAACCTTGAACACAGTCTCAATGCACACAGTCTTGAACTGGCTCCAAAAGACACTGGTTGACCGCTTGCCTACGCATCCATTAGGCACTTGTTTATTCTCAATCATCATGTGGACTTGTGTGTGTGTGACAGACTTACCAGAATGGGTTTCAAGCGGAAGGAAGCACAACTCACTGCCGCTTGATATTTGATTACGGCTAATAATAGAAAAAGACAGCTGCCTTTTCATTGATCTGTCTTCGGTGCCCTATTTCTGAGCCCTGTTTTTTTTCTCTCTCTCTGTGTCGTGTTAAACCAGTAGTAATAACACAGAATACTGTGCTGGGCAACAAACACACTTTTAACCCATCGGTCTTCATTTGCTGTAATTAGCCATTGTTTCAGAATACTGCTTTTGTATTTGAAAACGAAGCCGCTTTGGGCCACAGAATCTGGTCGTGTGTGTGAGCGAGCCAAGCCGTTTGGGGTCAAACAGGACAGGGATAATAAGAGGGGAGGGGGATACCATGTGGGAAGGAAGTGGCTCGGCTTGTTTGTCTGCCAGGCTTTTGTTTGTTTTCCTGTCGGACAAATCTATTTAGGAGGTAGGCTATCTGAGGTCTGCCGGTGGAAATTAGCTACAAGCAAAGGCTTGTTATACAGCTATTGACAGTTATTCGCTAATGTGGTTATTGAGAAGTCGGTTGCAGCCAAATGAGAAATTGATAGGCTTCATCCATCAGCACTGGTTGATCAGGCTGTAGGACTGCTGTTATTCTGGATGAATCATAACATCATAACATTTTGAGAGTTTTTTTAAAAAATGTATTTCTGGACACAGGAGTCAAGTTTCATGCCGCAGTAATATACAGTTGCTGCCGTCTAGATCCATTCCTGCTCCTCAAAGGTCTTGCATCTGTGTTATAGCACAGTGAGGCTACATTTACGGAAGCTGTAAGGTGACACTTTTGCTTATGACAAAGGCTGACATTCCCCCTCCCTGTTCATGCCTCATGTAAAGAGAGGAACGCTTGTCTGTATTATTTGATTACAGGTGCCCTGATGCCTAAGGTGACGTCAGTATTCAGTGTCATTTGCTGAGGTAGACAATTTTTCATGCGAGGGAGATTAATCCCTCCAACCCTCATCTCCCCAAAACCTTTTGACAAATCTATTGCCCGTGGAGCATCAGATTATATAGAGCTATTAAAGCATAATCAGACAGTAAATAGGTTTGTTTATCATGGAACTATAAAGCATGTTTCACCTCATTGATGTCAACGAAACGCCCAGGCTGCCGCGTCATTCACAACCTTTGTATGAGACAGAGGCAGAGAGAGAGGGAGAGACAGACGGTACAGCTGTTCTATTGAATCTGGATCGAAAAGTCATGAAGCTGGATCTCTGAGTCATCAGTTCTGTGACGCTCGGGTTTCACGGCTCATATGATGCCAACCAGCATGTCATCAGCTGGGCGGAGGGGTGGGAGAGAGGACGGGGCGGGGGGAGGAGACACATCGAGGCTTTCAAATCCCAGTCACCACCAATCTCTTTTTCTTTTTCCCCAAGCAAATTCTGATGCAACAACAATAACAGAAATGTTCACTACTGTGCAATTTTCCGGTCCAGTAAACTAAGGAATTAGACTGAAACAGAGCTTGAAAGATAGCGTTGAGAAATGGGGAAAACACAGGTGAGGGATGGCGGGGAGGGGGGGAGGGTGGGTGGTGGAAGAAAAAAACGTGTAAGAGATGGGGAGGAGAGGAGTGTCTGGATGGCGGGGTAGATGACTTTAGAGGACGGATGCTGAGGGGGAGGTAGAGGAGAGTCGGGAGGGGGGGAGTAAGTGCAGTGCTCTTGTTTCCTGGGGGGATGGTGTTAAATGTGATGATAGAACATAGACAAGGACAGGGCCGCTGATGTGACTGCAGCGACTGTTTGGTCATTGCTCACTGGTATTGCTTTGTTGAATGTGAAATAAGTGTAGACTTGATATTGTTGTTAGAAAACATTTCACGTGGTGCTGATTAGAGCTGAAATATAATCACCAGAAGGACGGACGACCAATAGGTAATGTGATAGCTTGTCGAGCAGGGCATGAAATTGGGGAAATACCTTTCAAGATCAGCATTCAGTGGTTGTTACTGTAAGCACAGTTTTCAGCCCATCATTTAGTCTACTATCTTCCAATCGAGAGGGACAGAAAGCTGTGATTCAGAGCAGCTGTCCTTCTATTGGCTGGAGCTGTTAAGGGGCAGGGCCTTGCCACAGGCTGGTGGGCAGGAAGGGGCTGGCTTTAGGGGTGTGTGTATGTGTGTGTGTGTGTGTGTGTGTGTGTGTGTGTGTGGGGGGGGTTTGGCTGGAAGTGTTTCAGCCAGATAGTTGGAGTAGACACTCTTCTGCTTCCTGCCTGCCCGCCTGCCTCGCTCGCTCGCTTGCTCCGTGGCTGAGAAAGAGAGAGAGAGAGAGAGAGGGAGAGAGAAAGAGAGAGAGACATCGAGAGAAAATCCCTGTCTAGGCATGGACCTCCGGCTGCAGCACTCGGCAGCTCGCGAGGAATGACAACAGTTCACATGGTCATTAACTCCAGTCGCTGAGGCTGAAGGGAGAGCTGTACTGTAGCTCCGTGTCATAGAAGCACCGGCTGCCTCCTGTGTTCGGGACAGCAGACAGACAGAGGCACACAAGCAGAGCGGCGGGACCCAGTGAAACGAGGTGGGAAAGATCCGTCATATTGGCTGGCTTTTCTTTTCTTTTTTTTCTTTTTTTAAAGGTTTTTCTTCAGGAGTTTTGCTGCAGTGTGCTGCATACCAGTCTGGGTGGGGAGGAGGGAGGAGAGGGAATGTTTTATCTGTGCGAGAGAAAGAGTGCGTGGCTGAAAACGAGGGACGAAAGGGGAAGAAAATGTAGAGAGTGTGGGATAAACGCGCAGGACGCCCTGGGAGCTTGCAGCCACGCAGTAACTTCCCTTACTGCAGTTTGCAGCACTGTAATGGACTTTCTCTTCCGACTCCTGAGGGATAGGCATTATTATCACAGCAGTTGACTTGCCCCTTCCTCAGTGCAAATGTCAGGAGCTCTTTTTGCCACATGGGCTACGTATTTTTCGCTCCCTAGAGAACAACTTGTCGTGTTGTGTGGCATCTGCGCTGTCACTGCGTGCTTTGTGCGGCTCCCACAAAGTTTTTCCTCGTAAATCTCGGTGTGCAAATTTTCCAAATAACCAGGGCAAAGGCAAACATGGGGTCTGATGTTCCGACACTCTTTACGCATGTGGACACAAATAGCTTATGGCCCCGATTAAGCTGGAACTTCACAGTTCTAATAAGGCCCACATCATAATTAACCTTTTGAGTTAGATGGGGCATGGTTGACGTGTCCCTAGCTTTCCGCTGTCCATCTAGATTTAGCTGCGCGCTAGACGCCTGGCCTGGCGCGATCGAGTAGTGGACACCATCGCCTGCATGGAAAAAGCGAGGGTGGTGTCATACGTCTGGCCGCGGATCAAGGGGAAGTGGGTGTTTTCTATAAAGGAACATCAGTCCAGCCCTTCCTGTTGAGAAAATAATGGGATAAGTCTCAGACAAGCACCAAGCCCTTACTGCAAGACCCTGTCAGCCAGAAATCCCCCCTCTCTGAATTGACTCTTCATGCAAATTGCACCTCGAGTTGGTATTAAAAGGATTTAGTGGTTGGTAGGTTTTTCAGACATCTTCTGCATGAAAGAGGGAGTCTGATTGCTCTGTGACACGAGGGTGAGTTTGCTGAATCATTCAGCTCTTATGTTTTCAAGTGCTGTAATTTGAAGGATTAAGATTTCCATTCATTTGATGTGTTTCTCTTGATATTTCAATGTACTAGAGCTTTAATCTAACCTAGTATTTTCTGTCCTTGATTCGGGGATATATAAAGTGTTGGTGGAACTTATCAAAAACAGTTAAAGTAGACAGTGCAAGTACAATTTTCACATTAGACTTTTAGATGAAGTGAGCTCGGGTATCCTGTTAATCATCATGTTTATCTGAACGGCACTGTTCACCTCTGGCAGCCAACTATACTGTAATTAGCTGATGACTTGCCTGGGTCCTGTGGTTAAGCAGTAAACACGTCTGTTTACTGAGTGCAGGGGTTGATATCAATCCCAGACACTAAAACACTCCCTTGACGTGCTCATAAAAAACGTACCAAATGATGGAAAAGGTACATCTGTTCTGTGTTACGAAATGGGCCACTGATCAGGAGAGAAAAGCCCATATCATCATGAGCAGGGCCATTTGGGTCACCGTGGTTTAGCTAAGGCTATTATGATATGGGGCACACCTTTCTGCTGACTCTGTGAAATGCTTCTTGTGTTGCCTCCAAACAGTAGCTTAGTGCTGGTATAGCCTCTGCTGAGCTCACTCACCCGTCCTTATCGCTAATGGTACTTGATAATATTGAACTCGAGGAGCCATAGCTTATGCCAAAGACAATTTCATAAGCATCATAGCATCCATAGTATTAAATACGAATTAGGCTGCAGGTTATAGCCCGGCTCTGATCCTCTCTGGAAGCTGCAAAGGAACATTTCGCAAGGCAACACGCTGGTGATGTCACACTGGAAGCAAGGTTAGGGTTGTTAGGGATAGAGGACATTTTGATAAAACCTGCGCTATAAGGCTCACTCATTTTCCATTACTCACTGGAAACTGAACATTTTCCTATTTCCCCCTCCACAATGAGGCCCTCTCTCCACAGCCTTGAAAAACATTGACCACTTGTTCCTCTTGGCCATGCAAATGACCATAGAACGGTGCTCTGCCAGCATAAAATGGTAATAAATGGAAATGCAGCCACTCAGGTACCCAGCTCTTGCGCTTGCCTGTCTCAGTCATTTGTATGTCTACTTTATTTTGCTGGCAACACCTGGCTGATGCCACAGTAAATGTTGTCACAAGGCTCACGACCAATGGAAACCAGGTAGCTTATCATCTCTGCTGAACAAATACAAGCAGCTAAGATAAACTGCACCGCACAGCCAGAGCGCACAGATACCAGACTAATGGGTTACATACGTGGTATTCAGAGGTCAAGCCAATGACTTTCACTCGAGACGCCCCAGTCCCGCTGACTCTCATTCAATTAAGCAGACTGACCAAGATAATGCCCCTGCCAGCTGGCCTTAGTAAGCGTCAGTAATCCATAAAGTCTAGTACTGTGGTGCTTTTCTTCACATCTCTGCCCTGCTTTATCAGGTCACCCTGTCTGTCCACTGTTTGTACTGAGGACACGGAGGGGACAAAGCCTTCTTGCAGGGACTCAGGAACGTAAGATAAACAGGATGTAAACTGAGGTGCAGGACTGGGCTCTTCAGATTTTATTTAAAATGTGGTCCAACCTCTCACACCCAGAGCACCTGGTATGAAAATTATGACAAATTACATTACAGTAACTTGAAACACAATATATTTCTGTGTATATTTCTCCACATTTTTGTCCCTCGTAGGACTCAGAAACTGTAGAACCTGGTTCAGCCATGAAGTTGTACAGGAGGGCTAATCTCTGAGGTCAAAACATTGGCTGCTGTGTGGTCCCTTGCTACCTGCTGACCATCTGTCCTTCACTCCCCTTATATCAATAGTATTGTGCTTGATGCGCGGCCGCCAAAGCCCGGCGTTAACTTAACCAGGCTGCATGTACTGTAGGTGTAATGCACCAGCAGAAGCTAAGCTAGCATAAGCCAAGCCAGAGGCACGGCGTCCAAGAAAACGTCAAACCAGACAAAACCAAAACTGCGTGCACTGCCTCTGACCTCAGCCGGAGCAATTCACTCGTGTGTTTGAGTTTCTCATGCTCTTATGATCTGATGTTTTTATACGACAGAGGTCACAGTTTTCCCCCTAGTTTGCCTTCGATTAGGGGCTTTGGTACGTTTTTAAAGTGTAAGAGGGCTCAGTCGTCTCTGCAAAAGAGAGGCTACCTGAAGGAAACGTCGTAATATGTTATGATATGATATAATTAGAAAAGATTGAATTGATTCTCAAAGTTGTAACTGGCTACTTTTCTATTTAAACTGTCTAACCCTCGCTTCACCCTCCCCTCCCACAAAGGAGAGACTCGAGAAAAATGCAAATAGCCTTATCTAGAGCCAGTGTTTGGATTGTCTGTTCTGGGCTACTGTAGAAGGCGGTTAAACATGGCAATCTCCTTTAAAGGTGTTTTGCGACATCTGTCGAGGCTCATATAATGATACAAATGCTACACACTGGACCTTTAATTCAACCCTTGTGTCAATGCAGATTTTGCACATAATGGCACACATAATAAGTGACTAACAGTTGCTTGAGCAGTTAAATTCCCCTGTCACATTGCACAAACATACAGTGGGTCATGTTCCTGCATGATTTTTATCGTACCATTGCCTACATAAGGGTCCTTCTGATCTTCAGTCCGCACCATTTGTTTTGAATATCTCTCATGACAAACATTGTTTGAATGTTGCCCCGTTGAGTCCCACGTGAGCTCTCCAGATGACCTTAAACAATCCTTATCCACACTGTCGGCCTACTCGATTTTTATGAAAGCTTGCAGTGCAGTAAACCTCTGCTTTTTCCACCAAAAATTAAAAAAAAAATCAGACTGATGGCTGAGTTCCCTAACCACTTTAGCAAAACTTGCTCCATGATTTGAGGCCAAGTCATTTCTCAGAGACACGGCGCCATCGTCCCTTCACACATTCTGACAAAGTAGGTTAGCTTGATCACAGACTTCTTATAGCTTCTAAAAATAAGAAGGGATTAATTGTTAAAGGTCAGATCTGACATGATTCTTACCTGACTTTCTCTTCTGCAGCGATTGGCTCTCTCCCTGGGGAGATGGTGTGAAATTAAATCCTGCCTTGGAGAGTGGAGCTTGGGCGTCAGTACGATCGGGCGCGGAAGCTCCTCATCTCATTTCACATGATCAGCACTAAAGTGGGACAATATGATTAGCTAGACAATGGTCTGGATTCATCGGAACAGTATAGTGTTGGTGGGCAATTTCAAGGGGAAGCATCTTTTCTGCTGCAGCTTTATTAAAGGAAAATCTACCTGTCTTTGTGACCAACAAAGAAAAAAATCAAGGGAGATTTTTTTCTTTTCGTAAGCTATTTATCATTTTGAATGCATAGGTCTTATCCTTATGGTTATTTTGGCTTTCTCTCTTCAATATTTCAGACTTCAAACAAAACTACAAACAGAATTCAGAAGTTTGCAATTACAGAGAGCAAGACCAATGTTGGTGTTTAGGTCTAGAGTACAGCAGGAGAAATGCACTGTCCCTTACCTAAATCTGACTAGACCTGTATCTGTGTGCCAAGTGTCTAAGGGTTTCTACTGTCCATGAAGGGAATTTGTGAAGGGATTTCTTCTTCCCTTAACAGTAGCATAGATGGTTAGAGTACAAGTCTCAACTCGCCTTCATTAACACCAAGTGGAGCTTGCCATATGCCTTCAGAGGTTGTTTAAGATATTATTCTCACACTAACATTTTCTTGATGTTTGCTCCTGTCTGTTTTCAGTAGACAAGTTTATATATTTGGAACAGCAAAGGGGGGAATCTTTAACCAGAGTTGTTGGTTTTACAACCCTTCTCCTCCCTCGGTCTGGTGTCCTCAGCCCCCTCCCCCCCCAGTTAACAGAAAAACATTTCCAGATGTACCAAGCAAAGAGCTCCCTGTGCAGTAGCTTAGTAATGGATTTCGTACACTCATGCTAAAGGTCACTTCCTCAGATTGTCGCTCCCCCAATTGTCTCCCTTCTCTCCTTAGACAACAAACGGAGACTGAGACTGGTGCCTTTACAGGACGAGGTGGAGGGTGGGTGGGGGAGCGCACACACACATTGCCCCCATGAATGTAAATTGACAGGCCAGTGTCAATGAGCCGGCATCTAATTTGGACAGCGGGAGAACAGTGAATATTGCAGGACACTGGGCAGCGTCATAATCGTGTCTAGCACTGGCATATGCATCTGTCTCGGCCCCTCTGTGGCTGCTGGACGGCTGCCCGGAATAGTGCTGCGCTGCACGGTTTTCTATTGGCTGCACCGTCCCGCCGTGCATGGCTGTACTGGGCGGGTTGAACCCTGGGGCTTTTATTTTTTCTATCTCCACTCTGACTCGATGCTCTTGTCCACTGTCTCATAGCACAGAGGCTTTTGCCATTCACCGCTTTGTATGCAATATGTTGGAGTGCCAGTGGGCTTGTAGTCACCCCGTACAATGGCACACAGCAGTGATTGGGGGACTTAAACTCAAGTGGCTTCTGAATAACTTCACAACTGCCTTTTCTCCAGTTCATCAGCCCTGTACCCTTTATAGCTAACACCCCTCTGGGGCAGTATGCATACAAATCAGCTTGACATGCATGCACAAACACTGTTAACGCCCGTTGAAGCCCATTAGATAAATAGTTGGCCATCATATTAAGCAAGCCCTTTTCTCACTCTGAAAATAACCTCACCCTGTTTGTTTTGTGTGTCTCTCTTTCTACCTACCTCTGTCTGTTCTCCATTTCAGATCACTGACAGAAAGTGCCTTGTGAGACAACATCCCTACTTGAAGAGTCCAGGGCGTTTCTGAAGAGCTTCAGCTCTTTCCCTCTGCAGTCGTGACAGGACGTAGCTCAGAGGCGAACACCCCTGACCAGCTGGTTTGTCCTTACCTGTGCTCAGTGTGAATACACCTCAAGTGAAGAGGTGAAGCTACTGCACTGCTGACCAAGGTGCCAAAGCTCAGAGAGAGTAGGTACTGAGGACCTTTAAACAACAGAAAGCCACAAACTTTGTGTCCTAAACTGTGCCATTGCACCTCAAAATAGCATCACTTTTGCTCCCCGCCATCCACCCTTGCACAGATAATCATCACTCATACAAAGGACATTTTGGGGACATTGGTACAACCAGTAAGGCTTGGCTCCGAGCATGCCCCCTCTGCCTTGTCAGAGGTCTGCACCTGAGACTTACTGATTGATGAACCATTAGCTGTTTGACTGACAAACTCCACAACAGCAGCGCAGTCCCATGCTCCGGTCACAGAGACTTTGCCAGTCCATTACCTCTACTTTCCTGTCCGCAAGGACGACCTCATCCACTGACCTGAAGCAGATCATTTATAGCTGCATGTTCCCTCAGTTTTAGTTGTTGTTGCGTTTTATTTTTTTACTGGAACACTCTGAAACAACTCCTCAGAGGATAGCCTCCTCCTTAAACCAAGTGGCTCCACTCCACCCCAGATCCACAGCCAGCGCTGCTGACATGGCTCTAAACATTGCCTCGATACGGGACACAAAATGGCTGACCCTGGAAGTGTGCCGGCAGTTTCAGAGAGGGACTTGTTCGCGCAGTGATGAGGAATGCAAATTTGCCCACCCACCCAAAAGCTGCCAGGTGGAGAATGGGAGGGTGATCGCCTGTTTTGATTCGTTAAAGGTAAGGACTTTTAAATACAAGGTGTAGAACTGCTGTTGGGATTTTAGGAATTTTTCTACTTTCATTCTATCCTTTTTTTCTCCACAGCATTGGATACAGACAGATAAAAAAATCTTTACCTATTTAGACCTTTTCTTTAGGTTAATTTGTTGTCATGAATGCGTGGCATACAGGGAACACTGCAGAAATCATAATGGCTTCTTCTCGTTAATTTATCTCTCTTTACACAACCTCATGGAACTGTCAAAGGAGGTAAAGCAAATATGAATAATTGGATTACATCTCTGCAGTACCATTACAGCATCTGACGTAAAATGTTACAGCTTTGTGGTTCCTAATGGTCGGTGGGTGTAGGTTGTCTGCTCAAATTAGCATGTGTGTCAGGTCTCCATGCTGTGCTGCAGTTAGCAGACCAGCCTGACCTATGCAGCTAAAGGCCAGAGAGGTCTGTTGTCATGTTCACTGTCACCACAAGTGTGTGTGTGTGTGTGTGTGTGTGTGTGTGTGTGTGTGTGTGTGTGTGTGTGTGTGTGTGTTTGGTTTTTTTATACGGTAAGTTCTTCTAATGTTACCATGCCCTGTCCATCATTTATACTTGTGAGCGAACATCTGATCGCCTTAAGTCATTCCAGGGCTTCTATTTCTGGGTGCATGTCAGCTGTTGCACACAACCAATAAACAACATAAACAGCCAGAGCTTGTTTTGTAATGTTTGGTTCTCACAGATCCATTTTTTGTCAAATTGAGATAGAATTTTGATTTTAAATTAGATTTCTTTTGTTAGAATTGTTATTCCATGTTGAAGGATTTAGCTCATTTATTGACCCCCTTATCAAACATTATGTCACTGTTATGTTTTGCTATTTTATAGTGGTAAAATTGTGGTAAACTAGCTTAACACCAGACACTTTGAAAGTCTCCCCAATTATAATGAGGTCGCTTCACACAAGCCCCCACATGCTGCAAATAAGATGACTGCATCCAAAAGTAGCCCAATATTTTCAAGCTGTGTGGAAAAGAAACAAAAAAAAAAAACAAAACACAGCTGTGACAATGATAAATAGCTAAAGAAACTAGAGCAGAACACTGGGGCTATGAGGAGTTTGCCTTTTTGTGTGAACTGTAGCTGTATTTCATATACACAGCAATGCAGTGTGTGGGGAGGGCATGTCACATTGTTCAAGGTTGTGTTCAAGGTCAGCACAAGAGAGAGAGAGAGAGAGAGAGAGAGGGGAGATTCTTCTGATGTGGTGCATTTTGCGTCACCTAAAGAATTGTGGTTTGCAAGCAGTTTCCGAAATGAACACCTGACTTTCCGTTTGGCGAGTAAATCTCGGAATAAACACTGCCGTTTAAATGTACCAAAATAGCCATGTAAGAAAAAAATATGCTGAGTCTCTACCACGTTTTGGTGTCATTTACAGGCGTGCTACTTCTGTCCTCGTTCTCGAACACTCCTCGTTTACTGTACAGCACATCAGCTACTCACTTGCTACTGGTCTGCTGCTTCATGGGCCGCGCAAAGAAGAGGTGTGGATGTGTCTTAAGAGAAGGTTTAAGTTAATTAAAATGATTAACAAACAATGATTTACAAAACCTTAAAACTGACTTTTATGTTTGATCCCTAAGTACATTTAAAGGACCAGTATGTAGGGTTCAGTAGCATCTAGCAGTGAAGTTGCAGTGCAGCGCCATATCTAAAGCCAGTGTTTGTGTTTGTCCATTCTGGGCTATTGTAAAAAAAAAAATGGTGATTCAACATGGCGGCCTCTGTAGATACAAACAGAGGCAAGGTAGTGAAAAATACAAATTTTTATTTCCAGGTGATTATACACTAATAAAAACATACCATGAATTCAGTATTTTGGCCTGGAAAAAATGTGCTTGCTCAGTGTATTTTTCCATCTACCACTCCCTTTGAGTCAAAAAGTTAAATTTGGACCCTATGTGCCCTCCTGAAATGCACAGCAAGCTTTCCACATTTCCAAGTTTTTCATTCTTGAAATACATCAAGATCTTCCGAGTGTGTAAAAGCCCTCTTCATTACAAGCTGCTCATGTCAATTATTTATTTGACACTGAAAACAAGCCGCCTTTACGGTGCTATCAGCTGTTTTCTTGGCTAAGACTTAGCTCATGGTAAGGCTCGCTGAGTTATTGCTCGCAGTCAGTCACTGAGTGACATTCCGTCCCAGCTGCCAGGTTTTGCGAGCTGTCATGCCGTTATGGTTTAATGAGCGAACAGCTGATGGCCAATCGGGATCGATTTGTCGCTGCACCATGCGAGGGAAGGCCTGACATGGATCCCTTGCACATGAAATGATTTTGCTGTTACTTGAAAACACAGACCAGTCATCCCTGACTGAGGAAACTAAATGACCGGAGTGCTCAACCTCATATTAGTGCCACCTCTCATTTAGACGATTCTCAATGACCTTTCCTCTACAAAGAGTGGCTTTGAGGCAGTCCATTGGCAATTCATGCATTATCTGTACTTCACTGTACAGAGCGATAGGAAAGCTTACACATGCAGTGTGCACTCAAGATGTCTCTCAGAGGCAGCTGTCAAGCCTAGAAGAATTTGAGGTTACTTGTCCTGTAACCTCAGTTCTCCGATAACATGAACGAGGCATCTCACTATGAGGAGTGCTCTCTCATTATTACGCTCAAAAGCCTCTATATGAGTACTTCTGTCATTACTGGTAGTGTGGGCTATAGGTCTGCTCCATCCTTTTAATCTAACTCTTTGTATCTCTGGATCTCAGAGGGCAACGGGGTCATCTCCCTTGTCTGACACAAGGTGTTTTGACACTCCTTTGAAGGATTTGAAAAGAGGGTCCCTGCTAGCCTCCAGTGCATCACCATGGCAACCTGTCAGCTGTTGTCAGCCTCATCCGTCATCATCGTCCATTTCATCTCCTTAGCTGCTGCCGGATGTGTGGATGACTTGATGTAATATATGGACATCAGGTCCTTGTGCGAAAGGCTAGCCTGGTGAGCTGTGGTGTGCAGTGGCAGGCAGCACACTCTTTTAAAGTGCACTGTGTATAGTAGACATTTCTCCATTTCCCTCTTAAGCCAGGCACCTAGCTTAGCAGTGTGCCTTGATGTGAAGTGTCATGGCATCCAGTCGGTACAGGATGGGGTACGGATATAGAGGCTTTTGAGGATATTGCTCCTGCATGGCTCTTTCTTTGTTCTAATATCCTGTGCATCACAAAAGCATCCTAGGAACACGGGAATATGTGTTATATCTACTGTCTGGGCTCCATGGCTGTGACCCTACCTCTATTATAATGTTGTTAATCTAGGAATTTTGCTGCTGTCATTTTAGGCTGCTCTGGGAAAGCCCATCAGCTAAAAGCCTAGTGCAACTAAATAGATAAATGTACAGACAGCTCTGTCTCTAATTGCAGCCACTCTTTCTCTTTCTCTCTCGCTCTCCCCCTCTTTTCACCATACAACCCAGTGACAGAACGAGAATACAGGATTCTCTGTACTTTTTAACTCCAACTCGCCCCCTCTCTCCCAAAGACTTTCCTCGTGACAGCTAAGAGAATGAATGCTTTATTATGCATTAGGAAATGTGTTTCGCTCCACGGCAGGCTGATTTCCACCCCATTACGCCCGTATCGTCTTGCTGGGTCTTCTCATCTGATAGGGTTATCATGCCAGGGTGGTGTGCTGCCAGGCGTGACTTGGCCGATGATCAGAAGGGTCCTTTTCATAAACACATGAAAGGTACGGCTCAGGAGAGGAGTAGAGTAGGAGGTGTAACTCTGTTGTTGCACTTGTCAGGCAGCGGTATGCAAGCATGCCAACTCAGTGGAGAATTTGACTGCTCTGGTTCTTGTTTTCAGAGTTGGTAAAAAGCCTCCTGCGATGACAATGTCTCCTTCGTAGTGAACGCGACTAAATTTCCTCTCAAATTTTGCAGCCTATTCCCAAATAGAATTTTTTTTTGCACCAAGGGTTATTTTAGATATATTTGACATCATTTGGCCCAGGATTTACTGGATGTTTAGGCTGCGCCACATTTGAAAAACGTTCTTTCAGATGATAATAAGTAAATTATTGGTGTGTGTGACTGGCAAGCTCTCGGCAATCATCTTCTGCAACGCAGCTTTTAAAAGGTATTATTAATTTTAAACACAGTGCAGTGGGAATAGTCAGATAGGTTGCTGTCACTGCTTGTGGCAAGAAATAGAGAAAAGTACCTGATGTATTTTTGCTGGGTATAAATTACATTTGATAACATAATTCAGTTAGTGCTCCTGTGTGTGTGTGTGTGTGTGTGTGTGTGTGTGTGTGTGTGTGTGTGTGTGTGTGTGTGTGTGTGTGTGTGTGTGTGTCCTTATTGATGATTGCCCTGGAGCACAACCGGGCCTTTCAGATTTCTGATCAGGCAGTGAGGTCACCAGACCAGGCGCAGGGGCTGACACATGGAAAGGATAGGGACGGGTGTAGCGGGGGTTTGGGATCATCAACGGTGGCCACTATAACAAGTTCCATTCATCTGAGGCAGAGGAACGACCTGGGAAGACAACAGCAAGCTCTTTTGCATTTTCTGTTAGTGAGCTTTGCATGTGACGAGTGACGATGAGGAATCATCCTTCCTGCTAGGTTTGCTCCTGCTCTCTCAGTTATAAAGCTTGCCTCGTCCCGACTCCACTCCGCTGCTCTCAGCATTTCTATAGTGTAATGTCTAGGGGACTATTTTTTGTCCTCCTGCTCTACACTGTCTGCTTTAGAAATAGTATCTCTATGCTGCATTTGTCATCGCTCAAAATAGGACACGCTGCTTTATCTCTGTCCAGCTAAAGCTGTGTGAATACAGCATTGGTTAGTAGACATGATATAGCTTACCAGGTATCATCCATTTCCAACGAGAGATGACATGAAAATTTGGTGACCTCCTCCACAGGAGCAGCAGTGGGAAATGTTCAGAAATGCCAACAGTTTTTTTCATTCATACACGTTTGAGCCTGTAACAGTTCAGCT